TTTCTACTTTAAAATCACACAGATCAGACGTATAACAGTGCAAATTCCAAACCCATACAAAGGCAGTACCGATTTCAAAACCACAATGAACAAAAAACAATATGGCATTATGGTGCTTTTTGATGGTACCACACATCAAAAAGCCCTATGATATAATAGCTGATATACAATCAAAATCTTTCAAAAACGGCTTCGAAAATCAGATTTTTTGATAATTTTGACCACCCTAGTAAATAGTAATTCTAGTAGTGTATTGATTCCAAGGGGCTAAATTAAATAGTTGATATCAAAAAGTATTAACATCACTTTTATTCCTGAAAATCTTGTAATAATAGCCTATTTTTTCTGTTTCCAAGCCTAAAATGTTGTTGCACATCATCAAATAACAATATGCATCAAAAATAGTCTTGACATTTTCAAACTTAAAAACAATGGCTGACAAAAATGTGGTTGCCATGGCGCCTAATAAGAGCTCTTTGGTTGTATCAGCTGAAATTATTTCTTTTGGCCCTGTTATTTTCTTGCTATTTTGGTTAATTTGACTGCGATATTTGGATTTAAAAAAAGGTTGAGCCAAATCCTGCAGCTGTGGAAAAACACGATCATTATTTTAATCAGATTTAAAGGTCTATGTTTAAATGAATGTCATGTTATTCACAACACTGACATTTTTGCTTGGATTTCAGTTTTATGTCAAATGCATATGTTTCTCCCGGGCCATTACGGATGAATTGTTGCGCTGTCAGGCTCCTTTGTGCCAAACCCTGGCTCTATACCAATTGGTATGCCTGAGAGTTAGTCCCATTTGTTTTTCAATATTCAAATGTGTTTTAATTATAGTACATCCAGAAGGCAAACAGTACACTATGAAAAGGTAATTATATCCAGAGCTTTTGCCAGATAATATAATCCTTGAGGCTGACATATTTAGTCTCAATTTTAGAACATACCACTATCATTCTTTTTGCCAAAGTCACTCTTAAAACCAGTCAACCTACATAAGGATTTGCTAAATATGTGTAATAACTTACTTGCAACTATGTAATTATGCCACCCACCTAGTTCAATTAGTTCCCTGCTCTCAAAGAGTTTGGTTTTCACACACAGGTATTTTTTGTCCTCTGTTACATCATGAAATCAGGTTTTTTAGACAGAGAAAAGTTCAAAAGAGAAGATCACTCTTGTTCAGTCAATCAGCTCTCACTCCAAAGTGTCCAATAGTGACTAACGAGGCTCTCTCTTTCTTAGTCTGCAAAAGATATAGTTAGAATAGATTAAAGATGGCATATGAGGTACCCCAGATGCTCAGTGTTTTAATGAGTTATTCAAGTTGAGTCAGACAATGCGTCACACAAACTCCTCATTTCTCTGGTCCACGTGGCAAACGTAATCTTTTTTTCTTTTCTTTTTAAAATCTTGTCATATCCGGCTCTGCCAGCAGCTCATTTGTGTATATTTAAAGGCATGTAAATAGACACACACACACACACATTGTGGCAGACCCTTCACAAAAATAGAAAATAAAAGAAAATAATCCGTCCGCTTGCTTTGCTTGCTTAAAATAAGAGCTCACTTTAGCCTTTCTGTCACCAAATCTCACAGTTGCAGATGGCTCATTTGTCCCAGAAATCCACATGCAAATATTTATCTTTTATTCATTAAACTGTTGTTATTCTTGTCCCATACCTTAACATGAAAATAATTATTGCAAATGGGGATTAGTCACACTTATGTTATTATGGTCAAAGTCTTAAACATTAACGTACGTCTTGTCAAATTATATAAATTATCTCCATTGGGGGTACACTATAAATGCTTTGCTTTCACTCCCTGTCCTCCAAAAATCAAAAATTACTCTTTATATCCTCAACTCTTTGTGCAAATAGAGACTGAGAATTAATATGCTGCCTGGACTACTTTGCATGCATGCTTATGATTCGATCGGAAAGGGTCCTTAAACAATATCCACATATATAGGAAAGAATATTTTGTATTCGTCTCACGGTGAGCTTTAGGGGATTATCTGATCATGAGCAGCTTACCAGCAGCTCTGTTACACCCTGCAAAACAGCTGCATTTGCAAATAAGCTGTAAAATTGAGCTTAAACAAGTCAATTACTAATATGTATTTCTTGTCTTCTTTTTTGTCCTTAAACAAAACTAACTGATTGAATATAGTGTCAGGAATGTGCATTGTGTTGAGCGACCGGGCAGGCTTTCTCCACTCATAAATCATACTTTGCAGAGCCCTAAATTACAACAGCATGTTAAATAGCAGGGATTCACAAATGTGTTGATTTTAAGCCAGCATCACACATGATCCAGCCGTGTTCTGGCTGATAGATTAACACAATTTCACATGAAACTTGCAGATACAAAACTGATTCATATCGTCCTCTGACCTCAGAACCTCCTTTGCAAACAGCATATTGCTGTACAATAAATACAGTACAATAAATATTTAAAAAATTAATAAAATAAGAATTATAAACTCAAGATAGCAGGGTGAAAGAGGGACACAGGTGGGATAGACAGAGGTGTGCAAGCCTGATGCTGTCTATTTCCAGAAATGTACAGGTTTGCACTTTAAAAGCTGTCCCTGGATGTTTAAATATGGATGAAAAGTGAAGACTGTTTTCTATCATGATGAACAATTGAAATCAAAGGTCCTCAAAATGCGTCATGAAACTCGAAGCTGAATGAGTAGATCATCCTCGCATCGTTATAGTTCACATTCTTTCCACATTTTCTGAAAACTATTGCCCAGAATATTATTCCTTTTGTGAGTCTCGTCAGTAATCAGTTATCGATTAAGAGACAAACTGACAGATGCACTCCTTAGTGGTCATCAGTGTGCGTCACACATGCAAACTTGTTTTACCAGGAAATAAATGTTTAACACTAACAGATCTGGTTGTTCCTTCCTTTCCCTGAAGCAGCCAGGGAATCTGGGCAGAGTCCACTGACCAACAGTAATGTTTGTAATAGTCACAAATAATTATTAAATCCTTCTGCAGTCACAACAAATACGCGCTGCAAAAAGATAAACGCTGAAATTAAATTATTCATAATTATTGTGTCCAAGAACTATTCTACAAGCTGTGATAATAGCATGAATCAATTTATGAGTAATCTTTACTGACTTCGTCATGTGTTACTTGTGTTGGAATTATTGTGATAGTTTTAATCCCTGTGATGTGGATGTAACTATAACAAAAAGGACCTTGGTATAAAGAGTACTTCTTTCTTTTTGATGGAATGAATAATTACTGGTAACTGGTGTGTGATTTTGACCCTCTCAAAAAAGTTTTAATTTTGAAGAAATTTATGAGATTATACTTTTTTATTATTAAAAATTGTGTATTGTCTATATATTTGCTACTTTCTAAAAATTGTTCATTCTGTCAGTGCCCAAATATGTAAGCAAACTATTTTGTCTTTTTAGCCAGACTTTAGCACCTGTAATGAGATTACAGGTGAAACATATGATTTTGAGGCATATTCACAGAATGTTTATGACTACGCTCACTGTTTCTAAAACAGATTATTCAAACAAGATGCTATATACCATCTGCAATTGCGCGGCTGGAGGCGGTAGTGAACATGTCTCAATCATTATGTTGATGCCAGCAGCTAAATGACTATATAGTGGTGTGGACCTGCGCAGTGTACAAATGGATGACTCATCGAGCAATCATGTGACTCATCAATCACTGCAGTTCCCCTCCCAACTCTCTCTCTCTTGTTCAGATATTCCTCATTCCTCTCCTTTTCATGTCTTGTTTTCCACATGTTTTGCTCCAGTGACACATAGCACTCCTCAAAAAGCCATTAAAAAACTGAACTTTAATAAAATAATTGCTTTTATTTTTTATCATATAGCAAAACTAGTAATCATCATGCTGTTATTTACACATTGCACGGGCATATTTATTTCACACTGTACATGTTACAATGCTAAGGTGACATCAACAACAACACTCTCCTTTTACAAGACAAATGGCTTCACTGCGGACACAGTGGCCCTCATCCGTTATATATTTTTTTTAAGTAATCACAGTTTATTCAGAGAAAGCCATCGCCTCAATTATTTCTCCAGACTGTTTTATTTTTTTCTCTTTTTTTGTTCTTTTATTTTTTTTGTTCATTTTTTCAGTTGCAAGTAAAAAGACGTGCATTTAACGGATTAAGCGCAATCCCTGACTCCCCAGCCTGAAACCCTTTGAGTTAAACATGGATAAAATTCTTGCAGATTCTCAGTGATTATCTGTTTGTAAAAGGCTGCAGAACAGATATGGCAGATTATCGCCAAGAATGATCTATAAATGAAAATAATAATGCATATAAAGTGAGGCATTCAAATTTATGTGCATAAGAAAAAAATAAACTTGTGATAATGGACCCCCCAGTGATGATGATGTGGTATGGTACTGTGGTTCAGTATGGATCCCAGCATGATTAAAAACCCTTAGTCCACCAGGTTGGAAGTGTTTAGTGTAAAGTTTGTGCTTTTGGAGTCCACAGGGTTTTTACGTTGGGACCAATAGAATGAAATTATAGTATAATATGCATTATGACATTTCCCTTATTTCCCATGGTGTTTGTAAGGCAAAATTCATCTTGAGTTTGTGTGTATTTGGCACCTGGAAATTGTTCAGTCCAATCAAGAATAAGAAAGGCAACATCACATGTCAAATACAACAAAACATACTGTCAACACAGCAGTTTCCTCCACCATTACAGCTTTGTAGCAAATGAGTGTACTCAAATTTGATTGTGACATACACAAAATAAACAAATACTATAAATATGTTGCATGTTGTAAACATGGTTCTCTTACAATGGGCACAACTGCATTTGAATGCTCACAAATGTGAAGTGTGTCTTGTAAAAAACTCTGAGATATGCAAGAGCATCAGAGTTCAACCTGAATGAAGACAGACATACACGCGGTATGTGCTGTTTCAGATGTAAACTGAGCAAGAGGCTGAACATGTTACCGGGAGCTCGTAGGTCATCCTGCCCCTTTACCAAAGAAATAACTCAAATACAGTGACACAATATAAACCAACTTTTCATTTCAGGACCTTTAAATCTCATTCAAGCTCACAATCAATGAGTCTTTCTTGTCATACTGCACTTAATGTGATTCTGTTCTCTGATCTAAAACCAAAATTGGTGGGTCTCTCAATACATTCTGCGTTTCATGTAGATTCTCTCAATAAAGTTCTCCAGCTCCTCCTCACTGTCCAGTTGGGGAACTAACCCGTCTTCCTCATAGTCATCTCCCGTAGTGACTGGTTGGTAGTACGGCGGCCGCCTTCCTCTCCGGGGCTGGTTGATGGGTTTGGGGGCAGGCAGAGTTTGGTATGTCCGTGGGTGAGGGAGGATATAGTTGGAGATGTAAGGTGTAATAGGAAGGCGAGGAGCAGGCTGCTGTCTCCAGCCTGGTCCCCTGTTTTTACCCCCAGCCCAGTTTTTTCTCCTGGGAGGCTGAAGGTCCAGCTCCTGGGGACCAAAGAGTTGGTCTCTTGGGAGGGGTGGCTTACCATAATACTGTGATTTGGGGTATGGAAAATAAACTGGATAATATGCGCGATAGGGCTTCTGATAGTATGGATAAGAGGGAAAAGCTAAAAACTGTTTTTGCGGCTTGTACCAGTAGTCGATCTGCTTCTGTGGCTTGTACCAATAGTCCTGTTTGTATGACTTGACTTTGTCTTTCTGCCACTTCTTGTTGGACTTGTTGGACTTGTTGTATTTTTGTTTTTTGGGGTTTTTTGAGGCCGTGTAGTGATAGAGGGGAGGCGCAGCCAGCGGAGGAGGTACAAGGGGGCGGAAACGAGGAGTGATGGGATTGGTTTTGATTGGCTGCTGCTGTAACTCTTTTCGCTTTTTCTTTTTCTCTTCAACATCACTGATAATCTCTATAACATCATCCGCAGGAAGATGAAGTTTACTGCTGATCTCAATGAGCCGATCAATCATCTGCTGGTCCATATCATCCTCGTCTTGAGCAATCTCCTCAGAGCGTTTGTCTTCAGCCGCATTTCCCATGCTGCTTTTCTGTCGAGGTTTCATGTATGACTGCTGCTTGCGGCCCATGTACTGCAGCAGCATGTCTGAGGCTATGTCGGCGAGTCTCTGCTCCTCCTCACGGGCACGCTCTGCCTCCTCTTGCTGGCGCAGCACCTCCTGCTTTTCGGCCTTCGCTCGAGCCTCCTCTTCCATCCGTGAGAGACTCTCCTCCTCCTCCTCTACCTCTTCCAACTCCTCCCCTTCGTCCTCAAAGTCATCCATGAAGTTGCCACCTTTTGTGGGGCGGTTGCTATCACGGTTGTCCTCCCAATGGAGCTTCTTCCCTGCTCGTGCTAACTGTGTGTTGTATGCTTTATAGCCCTTGAGTGGAGGCAGGATCTCATTGTCTTGAAGACCCAAGTCAATGTTTTGGAAGTAGCCTCTTATTTTACGCTGCAGTAAGGGATCATTGTCTCCTTGAGAATTAAAACTTTCAACTTGATTTTCCTCCTGTCCCTGGCTCACACTATCACCCACATCTTGTTTTGACCAGCCCTGGTCCTCCTCTTTTTTCTTCACCTTAAAGTCCTGAGCAGCTTTCAAAGGCCCTACAATTAGCTGTTCAGTCTTATCGGCTCCTCCCCCCTCCCCCTCTGGCTGCTCAGCCCTGGGGTCTTGTGGTGAAGCCTCTGGTCTCCTTATCTCACCAGCCTCAGAGGCGTCTGACGAGGGCAGCTCCTGCCTCCCTGTCTCCCTCCAGTTTCTCTCCCCAATGCTGTCCCCATCACTGGGGTGGTCCAGGGCCTCCAGTAGCGCAGCAAACACCTCATCAGTCACTTTATCTGAGCCTGGGTGCCCACCCTGGTCCTGGGATGTATTGATGAGGGAGATGGGGGGCGATAGAGTTTGTTCTTGGCTGTCCTCCACCCCTCCCTCCAGCCCCTCGCCCCTCACAGGGGCGGCGCCAGCCAGCTGCGGAACAACAGTGAGCAGGACCAATAGGACAAGGCGGGCTGGAGAAGAGCCGTGATGACAGGTCATGACCATGCAGAACCAGCAGGAGGGAGGCTAAGCACCTGTACACAAGAAAACAATATGGGCATAGTGAGACATAGCCTAAAAGGCTGCAGAAAAAAGAAAAATACGTTAAGTATTAAAATGCAATTTAGATACCACAATTCAACTTTAATAAATCATTTAATGAATGCATCTTACCAAAAGTGTTTTTATTCCCAGGTTTGCATACATTATGTTTGTTTCAGATTAAATGGGTAATTCTTAGCAGCAGTTTATATGTTTTTAACCACATAAAATCAGTATTATTATCAACTTGTTATTATTACGACATGTCTGGTCTATTACATTTTGTTTTTATGGACGTACCCCGCGCAAGTAAACGAGAAAACGCGTGATGAATTAATAGCTCTATTGTTGTTCAGGCCGTTTAATCCGATGAGCGCCTTAATGAAATGGATAAATTCGTTCATTTGTAATGACTACATTATAAAGGACACTTTCACGTCGATCTCCATCATCGTTTTCGCACATAGTCCAAACCTTCAGCCTCCTGCTTTTAAATGTCTCACCTTTTCGATCGGGTCAATCCGCCACGAAAGCCCGCTACCTCCATTTTAAATGCTCGGCTTATTAAGTCAAATAAAAACAGTACAATAAATCACATTATTCGAAACGTTTCTGATTTGCAGCAGCCATGTATTTGACAGCCCTCCGCTTGTGCCAAGGCGACAGGAGACTGGCGCGGACACGACGCGGCGCCACGAAGTCATGCGTAAAGCCCGTAGCCAGTTAACCCTACGGCTCCTGACTGGAGCGGCTGCTGGAGGTATAATAATCGAATTTCCTCGTCAAACTTGTCAAGCAAAAACATAATTCAAAAATATCTCAAAAGACAAACGGTCCCCGTGCCTATAGGCGCTCGTGTTTGGTAGTGAAGGAATGCAGACATTCACGCCTGTCCGTTTACAATAATGTCTTTTGATTTTAATTACAAAACAAAAAAGGTCCAACCATTAGCCTTACGGGGAGTAACTTCTACATTGTAACTTTCCCCTTTCGGATATCCTCCTTATAGTTGGTGTTCACAGACGTGTTAGTAAATAATGGCTAAAGAGGGTTTTCATGCAAAGCAAATTATGAGTGAAACACCACGTAAAATGTACTGCTAATTCCAGGGAAAAGTCCAATTCTCCGTTGATAATATTAGTTTGTGCTGCATTTATCTCCTTAACCGCGTGGTCTATTGTCTATTCCGGGTCAAAATAAAGGGTACAAATGCAAAAAAACATTTCGCAGAATTGATTATAGGACATGAACTGAGTTTTCTGGAAAATACATTTAATACGTATTCATTTGACAGACATGCTTCACAGTAGCACTGTTGCAGTATCTATTTAGTCTTTGAAATGGTAAATATTGTTATTACATACAAATCATGCAGATGGTTCCGTCATAATGACTATTATTACTTTAAAGTACTTCGACTAAATTGAGTTAATGAATGGCGCAAGGTTTGTGGTTCTGCTTACCTGAATTCCCACTTGGGGTGGGCAAATGGTGACAGTCACAACGCGCGTAAAACCAAGATTATTTCATGAAATCACCTGAGAGACTGTTCCTTCTTCAGTCTGTGAAATAAAGAAAACTATGCGTATATGGTATCTGTTTGTGCGGCAGCCTCACTGGGTAAAGTACTACAATTGAAGTGAATGTTTTCAGCACCACGGCCAGCGCAACTTTATTGTATATACCCTCGGTAAGAACACGTGATCGTCCCTCCGCCCCTTTTGCTGTCGCTGCTGACGTCACGTCCATTGATAAGACTGTTGGTGAGGAGATGGCACAGTGAGTCTAGGCTGGCCCCAGCTGATGAATGAACGGAAATGGCATGAATGAAATAGTGCTTTTCCTGAATGAAAGAGAAAATTGTAGACAGCCATATACACAGCCGTTTTCCTTCTCTGGTATGAATTCCTCTGTTCTCCCCTCTCAGCTCCAGCTTGTTACATATTCAGGAGCTGCAAAAGATAGAGTGACCCCAATTGCACACTATCAATTAGGGTCATTTGGTGACGTGCTCCAAGAATCAATGGCATGCATCTGCAGCCTCAGACAGATAAGTGGGATATGGCCCAGCCTGCACATCTTTTGTGATGTGGGCTACACTCTTTTATTGTTGTGTGGTTCAGGGACCATGCAGGAGCACCGCTGTCCAGCCTCGTTTCTCGTTTTCCAGGAACAATTTCCCACCTGCCGTTCCATGCAGCGTCAGGACCCCGTTTATCTGTCAGCACCACATTGTGCTCATCCTGACCCCTCATCACCATTATCTAACACTTTACAGAGATACAGCTAATCATTCGAACATGAATCAATACAACCACAGCGACAATACAGTCACTGACGTAAAGTGTTTTCTTCTTTATTAACCAGGACTCTATCTGGATTGTGCAGCCAACACAACACAAGCCTCACATCCTTCTGATATATAGATATACAAATCTTTGCAAGACTCAAAGAAAACCAAGAACAACATCTGTATTTATACCCCACTGACCGATAAATGGTTCAAATGGCTTCTGAAAGGTGCCATATATATCTTTCAGGTCCTTTTCCACGCCTAAAATAAAAACAACACAATTTGTTATCCTGAAGGTCTCCTGTGCATTATGGCTGAACATTTGGGCCCAAGGACAAATAAATATGCTGTTCTTTGTTATTGTTATGCAGCAGTTAAACAAAAACCTACACTGCCATTACGGCAGAATAATGGAGAAACAAGTTCACGCAGGTTAATTTACATACTCTTTATTTTTTCTCATGGCCTTGAATGTGGTTATTCAACTATCAGGCTTCATGCACATGCACTTTGGTTATACAACTATAAACCTGTTACTTTTGCCACATGTATTTTACATTTTGAAACTATACAGCTGAATGTAAGGAGAGGCAATTTTATGTGAGTACAATTCATATACAGAATATAGGATTTACATTGAAACATGCATTCAGACCCCATGAATCTTTACACTTTTTGTCACGTCACAAACACAAGCATTTTTATGAAACCAATACAAGTGAAAGTAAAACGATACATGAGAAAAATAAAACTGCAATGTGGCGCTTTGGAAAAAAAACCCACCCTCACCTGAATCAATACTTTAATTACTTGAATTTAAGAAAACTTTTCACTGCAATCACAGCAGCAAGTCTTGTACATGTCTTAGTATGTCTCTAAGTTTTGCACAAACTGAATTTTATTTATTTCTTAACATAAAACCTCAAGCTCCACACAGTTTCTTGCTTCGATTTAGACTTTGACTGGCCATTCTAACACCTGTAGATATTTCATGTTTATGGAAATGTTTATGTTTATGGGTAGTAGGGAAATATCCATCACAAGCCCTTTTGCAGACTTCGACAGCTTTTCTTTCAAGATGAGGCTTTGTTTTGCTCTATTTTGCTCTATTGACCTTCTCATTACCAATGACATTCTTCTCCGCCCCTGCTGAATAAAAGCAGCCCCACAGCATGAAGCAAAAAACAATTGTCCAAATTTGTGAAATTGGCAATATTTTACCAATCTTAGCTTACATGTTTTTACACATCAACCTGGTTTCTGTGTGCGTACATACTATTGCATTTGATGACAAGTAATGCTCATATCAAATTAAGTAGTAATTTGTCCCAAACGCTTGAGGCACCCAATGACCTGCCTTTAATTCGATTTTGGTGCCACTGCTTGCCAAGACAGTGCTGTGGTAAACATGGTTGTGGCGTGTGTAGAGAACAAGGCACAGAGAGGTATATAAGCAGGGTGCCGCGGGGCAGATTCTGATATAACGGTCTGGCATTATCCTCTGCCACTCAGCATTAGTTGGCCCTTACCCTCACTCCATGTCCGCACCCCCACGGTCTGACTCACGCACTACCGCCTGCTCGGCCACTCACATAGATTAACACTGGTACACTGTGCTACGTTTAATGGAAAACACGACGGACAGTGAACACGGTAGTTCAGAGTCTTTTTGATACAAACATACTCTGCTTGATTTCACTGTAATGTGTGCGAAACTCGACTCAACCAGGACACAGGAGGTTTGGGCTACACCAGCAGATGCAAACTATTAAGATGAAGTGACACTACATAGGCGTGTACAAACTATGGCCCTGGGACAAAATTCAGCCCTCATGCTATCAGGAGAATTGGCCCTAATACTATTAACTGATACAAAATTTTCATTTTTTGATTCCTCCTATTTTGCAAATGGGAATTATCCATCTAGCTAGACGCTCCTCCTTTCTGTTCGAAAGTAGAACAGTCTGATGGCTTTTCACTGATATAATTTCAAAATGATTTAGCCATTGTTCCAATAAGACATTCTCTGCAGAAAAACATGGAAGTCGCATAGTCGAACACTAAAGATGGCTTGCACGTGAACACAGCTGGTCCACAGGTTTCTTCTGCTCCGTCCTGTGTTTTAAATAATTTGGAAAATAAAAGATGCCTAAAACAGGCGCAAGAAATGGCAATGGAAGCAACGTTTCTCTAATTGGTTGATCCCGTCCGTCAATCACAGCCATCGGTCACGCTGAGGTTACCTCACAGACTACATATCTTTGTATCCATGCCAGATGTGACATGTACATTACTCCTGTGTGAGATCAATAAAGTCTATCTTATCTTATCTTATCTTATCTTATAGGACCAGCCATGTGTATCTTACAAAAGAGCATGCAGCTCAAAATATATTTTTGTCAAGATGTGTCAATAAACGCATAGCCTCATTAACCCTTACATACTTTTTTCACTATCAGTGATGTCAAAACAGGCTTGCTTGAAACTGGGGGATATGATAAATCTGTTGACCACAATTATGGAAATGCATAGGAAGTGATCTTTTTGCGACGAGCTATAATGTAGTTCCTCCTGTGCACGAAAAGGGCCCCTACCTTGAAGTGATAAAATAGAGCTCATGATTAACAGAAGCCTTTCCACCACCCACGCCACTTTGTCAGGGGAGGGACGG